TAAGAATGTACTTTAGTATATGTGATGGTACTTTTGCTTTATGAGCACTTGCAACTCAACTAATACTCACTTAAATTACATCAACATTACTCTTTGTCCATATTTACAGCAAAATGCAACTCATGCAGCCTTCCAAGAATTAGACATTGCAACCAGATGTTGCTACACGGTCATAGGAAAAGTTATTTTTTTCTAAAACAGGAACTCAGCGTCTAGGTTATCAGTGGAGCATGTCAGTAGCTCAGTAGATGAATGATATACTTGGGAATGGAATACTTACACTTGACAACGAAGAGGCACACTGACGCTTCTGACTGGTCTCAGGTTGATCTTCTTCTGCCATTTGCCTCCGAGGATTACCTTTAGACTTGCCCCGTACAGATGGACCTTCAGACCTAGATCTTCTATGTGTCCCACTGATATCCTTCTTCCGCTTTTGACTAGACTGAAGGTGCCCACTCTTGAGTTTTTGGATTTCATCATCTTTCTCACTGACCAGGGAGTGCATTTTTTGTAGCTTATCCTCAAGAGCCAGTACCTTCTTTTTGGCATCATTAGCTTCTGCTTGCAATCTGCCAACATCGTCATCCTTCTTTTGGGCCACCACTTGCAGTTGCAGCTCCTCCACCTTCCGCTGAAGCTTCTCTGCTGCTTCAGTAGCCTGTGCTGCCTCCATCTTCTTCTTCTTAAGGAGCGTCTCGTAATCCTTCTCCATTGTCTTGTACTGGTTCCACACAAAATCCTTTTCTGCAAGTAACGCGGAAACCTCACTCTCCTTTTGCGAGCTCAGGGCCTTATAGGCTTTCTTTAGCTTCCGTATCTCTGCTCTCAAATCTCTTCCGCTGTGCTCGGGGTCTGTAATCGGCTCGCTGAGCTCGGCACAACTTTCAGCTTCCTTCAGTTTTATCTAAAGTTAAGAAGAAAACAGGAGGAGCAGATACAAAACAACAGTTAACGAGATGGACAAAGTTTACTACTCCCTCCGTTCCGAATTACTTGTCTTAGATTTGTCTAGATACAGAGGTATCTAGCACTAAAATGAGTCTAGATACATCCGTATCTAGACAAATCCAAGACAAGTAATTCGGAACGGAGGGAGTACATGCTTGTGAGTAAAGCAACTTATGTTTTGGCAAGTACCTTCAGTTCATTGTTTTCTTGAGCCAAAGCAGCCGCATCCCTTTTGAAATCCTCCAAGTCACCATCTTGGTGTTCTACATCAAACACAAAACGCAATGATATCAGCAACCAGTAGCAATATAACTCCTTAGCGAAACGTTATTCCAAATGGAAAAAAGGAAAGCACTAGCTGTCATTATAAGTGGGTCGCAATCGCCAGGAATCCTGGTTCTTGATGAATGTGAACAGAAGCAATATGCTGTGGAAATGACGAAATATCATCGTTGGACTACCGCTTTGGCGTCCAACGGTGCAACGATGTATGAAATGCCGCCGTGATTAACAACTTTTGAAGCCCAAGCAATATTATGACATACACATTTGGTGAATTAGCTTAGAACTTCCGTAAAATGTCTGTAGGGCGAAACATACAGAAATAACTAAACCAGCACAGCAGCATACATACATACAGAGAATCTTGACAAAATTCACATCAGGCATGCCACAGCAAGCATCACAACAATGTCAATCCAAGCATTGCAGAGCGAACGCAAGCAAAGATGGAACATTTGGCGGGTGTGGCAGCGGATATGCCTCCGGAGACGACCCCTGAGCCGAAAAAGACGCCGGCTTTGGCACCTAGAGCTACCCAAGACCCTCCAGAAGAATCCATGCCCCAGGATTTCTGGATTTCTCCCACCAAATCGACAAGAACGGCACATAGGGGGAGGGGGTTGGGGAATTTGTGGTCTTACCGATGTAGATCCGGTGGCGGCGCACCTCGAGGTCCTTGTCGCCGAGGAGCAGGTCGAGCTTGGCGGCGTCGCCCCGCCGCAGGCAGTCCTCCACCCTCCGCGTCTGCCAGCGAAACCCTAGGGACCGTCAGCCGCCGGCCGGACCTCGTCGGAGAAGGATAGAATCAGGGAGGAAGGGGGGAGGGAGGGGCGGACCTCGTCGAGGCGGTCCCTGAGGACGGCGTCGCGGTGGAGCCAGAAGTCGTGCTGGATCTTGAGGACGGCCTCGAGGCGCGTGCGGTCGGCGAGCAGCGCCTCCACGTCCCGGTGGCTCTTCCGCAGGACGGCCACCATCCGGTCGTAGATGCGCAGCCACTCCTCCCGGCCGCCCTCCCGCGCCGGCGACGCGCCGCCGCCGGCCATGGATTGGTTCGAATCAGGGGTGGAGCGGGGGTGGTGGTGGGCGTTTCCGTCTTTTCACCTGAGGATTGCGGGCGGGGTTTGGGGGTCGGAGGGAGAGCCGGAAACGACCGTTGTTGCTTAAATAAAAGAAATCTCACATTTTTTTGAGGGAAAAAACCTCACATTAAATATCTTGCTCCATGGCCATGGAGAAAATAAATTTTCCTTTCGTTTTTACCTCTTCATTGTCATGGAGGTGTCTCCTTCGGCGTGGGCGAGGAGCCAGCGAGGGTGTGATCTCGTGAATCCACCTCCGGGGGTGAGCAGGGGATGCCGCCCCTAGTCTCCGGCGGCGGTGTAGGGCATCTCCCCCTGGCAGCGAACGCAACGCAATCGAGCTCCGTCATCGGTCGTTATCCCGGCAAACCTCAATCTCTGGGTCCTTCACTGTCTGCTCGACCGATGTTTGAGCGTGAAGACTTTGTCTCCCCGCTGAGTGAGAGTTTTCTAATGACGAAAATGACATTGGGGTGTGGCGGCGTGGTTATGGGAGAAGGGTGAACACTTGTCCCTGAACATTTTTTTTGTCTCTTTTTAAAGCACATGTTCATCATTTGGCAAAAAGATGTACTACAACTTTACTTTACTTTGCCATTTGCCAGCAAGAGGCTCATTTATTCTGATCATTGTTGAGAAAATCGTTAACTAGTAGTTGCTCGGTTGGCTGGTGAATAAGAGATTAATAGTCTAATCGGCAAGTTAATCAACCAATTAATCAATTAATCGCCTAGAACCTACGAGCAGGGATTAATCGGCCATTTAACTGTAAATTTAAACAGTAAACTCACATGAATATGTTAGTTTTCATGTAGTAAAAAATATTAAGATTCTTCTGTGCAGACCTACATTGACACAGTACTGCAAAGTATGCCCAGCAGTGAGTATACACATCAACATTCAGGTGCAGATCATCGGCTTCTTATTTCATTTCCAGGATTGATATGGTCCTTATGTTCATCCCACAAGTAACACACATATTACAATGCTGCCCAACAGGGCGTGTAATTTCCAGCTATAAACTAGTAGTAGTGATCTAAACGCTCTTATATTTATTTACAGAGGGAGTACAATACTTTCGTTTCCTTTCAAAAAATTGGAACGTGGCATGAGCCTCTTGCTAAAAAAAATTGAAGACACATATTACAATGCTGCCGATCACCGAGTGGAACTAGCAATCGAAACTATCATCGAAAACACAAATGGAAAGAATTATGGAAGCTCGGCAAAATGAAGTCATGCTCAGCCATACCAGAAGAGAATTTTCCCATAGTTTTCTGAGTCAGTCATATTGACACATGCGACCATACTTTGTTTAATGCTCAAGTAACTACGCAATAAATCGGTTATGTACCACGATATGCTCTTTATACATTAACTGATCATGTGATTCAACACTTAAGTAGGCAAGAATCTGAGATTTTCATGGGTTCCTTTTTACCATTTTGCGGACACGCCGCAACCATGAAAAAACAAGTGTCCAGCCCCTCCAAAATAACAACTCAAATTTCAATTCATTACCGGGTTTTACTTAGGCCTAGACCTTGCTCAGATGCACTTTTAAAGTAACTCACCGACTGCATTATACGTTTGATAGCTCCAAAATAACAACTAATCCCTCCGTTCCTAAATATTTGTCTTTTTAGAGATTTCAAATGGACTACCACATATGGATGTATATAGACATATTTTAGAGTATAGATTCACTCATTTTGCTCCGTATGTAGTCACTTGTTGAAATCTCTAGAAAGACAAATATTTAAGAACGGAGGGAGTAGAAACTTCAATTCATCACCGGGTTTTACTTAGGCCTAGGCCATGCTCAGGTCCACTTGTAAAGTAACTCACCGACTGCATTATACGTTTGGTAGATGCTAATCCTATGCCATCTTTTTTTTTCTGTGGCCTATACTATATGGCCTCTGAAAGAAAGAAAGAAAGAAATATACAGTGCAGTCGTGCATCAAATAAAACCGCCAAAATACCTGCTCTGTTGCCTACTCCATGTCATGCGTATCCATGAGCTTTTCCCCTTCCGAGCCATCCGGCACCAACACTTCAAAAGCAGCCTCATTTTTATGTTGAGAAAACAGTGGAAAATAGGCAGAGAGTCCTAATAGATAATTTACACGTTACTTTTTCAGCTTCCGGAAACGAATTCACACACGGCAAGACCAGCAAAATGGAAGACTGGAACTTCATCAGTCTACAAAAAAAGTGGCAGCAGTTATCAGTTCATCTGCTCCTAGCTAGCCGGGACTCATGGCCACATTTCATTAAACCAGCCCTGTCGTCTTTCCTGAGCTCGGTCTGGTATTGAACTACGATGCCATGAACGTATTGAACTGAAGGATGAGTTCAGGGCGCCCGTCGAACAGGACCTTCAAGGCGCTGGTGAGGGCTCGAGCATCGATCCTTCAAAAAGAAAAGGACCAACAGGAAAGTTTACAATCCGTCAAAATTCAAAACAGAGAAATTTGTGTAGATGTAGCTGCTCATGCATCACGGACCTGTTGCTATAGACTCCGCGCAGGAGCGCCAAGAACTCCCCAAACTTGTCAGGTTTGTCCCTGAAACTATCCTTGACGGCACGGATGTAGAGGATCGCGGCGTTCATCGACTCCTCAAACTTGCCAGGTTTGTCCATCAAACTATCCTTCACGGCACGGATCTTGAGGAGCATGTCGTTCATCGACTGCTGGGCAGGCCTTCAAGGCAAGGTGAACCAAATAGAACACCATCAGAATACAAGACTAGTATAAAACCGAGAATCACAAGAAAAACGAGTATTTACCGATTGCTTTCACCGTTGGCGAGTTTGACCTTACTGTCATCTTGCTCCACTTCCCCTTTCTCTGGTACCCTCTTCTTGTTGAGAGGCTCTAGAACTTGATTACTCTTTTCCTCATCATTTGCATTCTGCTCATTATACTACAAGCCAAATAGCAATTAGTCAACTGACACGCCCATGAAACCAAAACCCTTACTAGACCAAAGACAATCCAAATTCCAACAGGAAGCTTTTCAGAGAATGAGAACAAGACAGAAATGTAGATAAATGACATTCCAAATTTTATTTGTCTACGCATATTAGTACAAGGTGATCAGCTTATTAAGATGCAAGCCAGGTCTGCTTAACAGGTGCAAGGGTGTACATTAACTGTACATGTATGGAAAGACAGGGTCACTATAAATAGTACAGGAATAACACAATGATAAAAAATGGTATAGTGTGAGTCGTCCATATACATGAAATACTTACATTTGGTAAGGAGGAAGTGACGCACTTGCGCTTCAGGCTAGTCTGAGGTTGCCCATCTTTTGCTAGCATTTGCTTAGAAGAACAAATTTTCATTTCTTCCCCCCTTAAACCAGGACCTTGTGAACAATTCTTTGTGTGTGTCTCACTCGTATCCTTGTTGCACTTTTCACTAGTCTCAGGCTGCCCATCTTTGCATTTTTCAGTTTGCCCATCTGTCTCCTTGGGCATACAGGTCATCTCCTGTCGCTTATCCTCAGGAAGCACCTTCCTTTTGGCTTCAACTGCTTTTGCTCGTGCTCGCGGTTTGTGAATCTTATCATCCTTCTTCTGGGATGCCACTTGCAGCCGCTTAAGCTCTTGCTTTGCTTCAGTAACTTGTGCTGCCTGTTTACTGCTGTAGCTACGAAGGTCAGCATAGTCCCGCTCCAGTGTCGTAAACTGCTCTCGCACGAGGTCCTTTTCTGCAATTAGTGCAGAAATTTCCTTGTCCTTGTCTGCAATCAGTGCTGAAATTTCCTTATCCTTGTCTGCAATCAGTGCCTCATGAGCTTGGTTCAATCGTCTTAGCACTGCTTCTAGATCTCCTGCAATGTGCTCATGGCCTGCGGCATTTAGGCAGTGACCTGCGCCACTTTCAATTTCCTTCACTCTTATCTAATAACAGTATAAGAAGCAGGCATGGGCACACAAGATACGAGTTGAGAAAATTGACAGGATATAAGTTCAGAAAATTGACAGGATGCACAAGCTAGCTGAGACGCAACTCGTGTTTCGGTAAGGTACCTTAAGCTCCTCGTTCTCCAGCTCCAAGACTTGTATGAAATCTTTTAAATCCTCATTTTCACTCTTTAGGGGTTCTACATTGAATGCAGCGGACAGGGACAAGGATATCGGATCATAAGAAAGCGAAACGTAGCAGACTGTGCTCCCAAATCCCAAACATCAATATAGAGCAACAGAGATAACGCAGTGCTAGTAGCAGACAGAGTAGTAGGTGAGGAAATGCTCCCCTTACCGGCGAACAACCGGTCATCGCCGGAGGGCTGCTGGGCCATGCACGTTGCCTCCCACATCCTCGTGTTCTCATCCGCCTGACATTTCCGCGAGCACACACCAGTCAGCAGCCGAAAGCCCGAAACCCTAGGTGGGATAAAGAGGAGGGAGCGGAGGGGTCACCTGGAGGAGGCGGCACTGGAGGAGGACGTCGCGGGCCTCCCAGGACTCGTGCTGCAGCGCGTTTACGGCCTCCAGCCGCGCGCGGCCGGCGGCGAGCGCCTCCACCCGCGGCACCATCGCCGCCGCCCGGCCGTACGCGCGCAGCCACTCGCCCTCCCGGCGGTCCGCCCCCGCGCCGACGACGCCACCGCCGGCCATGGAAGGAATCGCGGAGATGGAGCTGGCCGGCCGGCGACGCAGCTGATCTGCTTTCTTGTCACGGCGGGCGGATGGCAGTGGAGTGGAGCAGAGGAAGCCGGCGCAGGAGCTTGGGTAGCCGCAGTATAGCTGAGTGGTGGCCCCCTTGAGTCAGCGAGTGGGTGTGTCTGACCGGTGGGCCCTGTGTAACAGGTTTGGGCCGGGTTATAAAACCATATGTCAAAGAAATGAGATGAAAAACAATTTGTGCATTATTTTATTAGTATTTATTCGCAAGAGAAAAGTTTGATTTTTTTAACTATCCTTGCATGGAGCACTGAAGGAGATCTTTGATGTAACTATCGCCGTGCCGCCAATATTACTTTGTGTTTCTCTACCGGTGTCTCGCTTAAATCATAGTTCATGTTAGACCACCAATGATGTCGACTTTTCTACAATTAAGCGAAAAATCAGTGTCAAATTGCTGCCTATGTTATATATCTTTTGAAGTACATTTAGTAGTGTTACATTATTACCTGCTCATTTCCTCAATTACTAGTATCCGAAAATCGAAGCATCATGGTGGTCAAGCATAGGCCTATGGTCCAAGAGGCATGCTGCAACTGTAGTACAAATAATTCCACCCAAAGAATAGTCAAGAAGCTTGATCGAGTGTTTGCCGACACAGTGAAGCATCACTGATATCGATGGCGTTGTCGACAAGCTACGTTATCATTGTACATCATAGAGTAGAGCACAAACTGTAACAGATTCAAGGCACTGAGCACCGCTATTGTCCAGAAGAAGTAGTCCAAGTGTCCGTTGTCGAGGTCCTCTGGAATCCACATCGTGGCGGACGCGACAACGCCCAGCGCTACCGAGTTGAGGTAGCTCCCTGCCGCGATGGCAAGCTGCCCGAAGGCGGTGCACAGGCTCCTCATGTTGTCCGGAGCCCGGTCGTAGAAGAGCTCGATCATGCCGATGACCGTAAACACCTCACTAACACCCATCACGGCGTATGCCGGTGCCTGCCACATAATGCTCACTGCTTCCCCGACCGCGGCCTTTGCGAGACGGTTCCTCTCGTGAAGAGCTAGGTAAGCCATGGCGAGAGTGGACAACGTGAGACCGACGCCAAGGCGCTGCGGTTGTGTGAGACCTCGGTCCTCGCCAGTGGCGCGCTGAGCCAGGGGCACTAGCACGACATCATATATGGGGATCAATACAAGTGTGGTAACCACATTGAAGCTGGCGAGGGAGGCCGGTGGCACGGCGAATGACCCCACGCGGTTGTCCATTGCCATACCCTGCTCAATCACCGTCGAAGACATCTGTGCCGTGATCATGAAGAAGACCAACAAAGACGCCCATGCAGGGCACAGACGTAGAAGCATCTTCACCTCTTCAACATGAGAGAGTGTGCATAGCCTCCATGGGCTCGTCGCCACACCTTTCTTCTCCTGTGTCGATGGTGATACAATGGCAGCCTTGTCTAAAAATCTGCACATGTAACACATATTTTCAGACACAAAATTAAAAACGTATGATGTTTACTCACTAGGATATTCTATTACCTACCTGAACTGAGTGGTATGCTGAACACTAAATGTAGCCTCCGATGGTGATGAAGGCGGGTAATGCAAGGTTGTGCAATCCTCAGGCAACTTCAGATGGCGATTTCTTGCAGCTGCAACAACAACCTGGGAAGCTGTTGTCATGGGACTTTCTCCTTTTGACTTGTATCTGTACATCCTCCTACTTGCGATGAACACCATGAAACTAAGACTCGTGAGGATCACGGGGATCGCAAAGCCGATCCCCCACCCAACATTGTCTTGCACCCAGATGATCACAGTGGTCGACAAAAGGGAGCCAATAGTGTTCAAGAAGTAGAACCAATTGAAGAATGAACCCTTCTTCACCCGCTCTGTCGTGTCGGTGATGTCAAACTGGTCAGCGCCAAAAGGGGAGGTACAGGGCTTGATGCCACCGTTGCCAAGGGCTGTAAGATACAGTCCAACATAGACGGTGATACGGTGAATCTCACCGTGGTTGGAGGATTGCATCATCCATGGGAGTGTCGTTGAAACCGTCAAAACAAGCATCCCCTAGCAAAAAAAAAAAACACATGGAAGTTGTTTATGAATGCTCACAACATAATTTCTTTCAAAAAAAGGCGGTGCTTCCTCCGACCTCTGTGTCTATTGGTTCACATCAACAACATATGTTTCACTTACGACGATGTAGACTGAGAGGAAAACCACTAATGTCTTGTACCTCCCCCAATACGTGTCTGCCAAGAAAGCTCCGATAAGCGGCGTAAAGAATGTGGTGCCAAACCAAGTGGACACATTTCTGGCCGCGTCGATATTGCTTTCATGGAGCACGCTGGTGAGGTAGGTGACCAAGTTCTTTGAGATTGCGAAGAAGGCCAAGCATTCGCTGAATTGGACACCTAGTACAGGTCAAACAATGAGAATAAGTATTGTGCATCTTTCAGAAAAGGAAAAGAAAATGCTTAGTTGTGAGTTATGCAGTATGCGAGTATACCTAAGAGGAAGAAGCATGCTCTCCAGTTTCCTGTGCTTGCCTTAACAGCAGGTTGCCCGTTAACATCAACTGTTCCGTCATTAGTGTATCTTGAATCCCCATCCTGCGTGTGGCACAGTAAAACCTCTGCTATGAGTATGATCTACTTATTTTTGGTGGCACCAAGTATCCTCTGCTATGATTTTCAAAAACGGGGTATTCCCCTTTTTGAAAAAAATTATACTCCCTTCAATTCATATTAACTATCGTTGATTTAGTATAAAGTTGTACAGCGACAATTAACATGGACCGAAGGGAGTATCAAACCTCTTGGACTCAGAACCAGACTGAACTTGCTTCGTGTACACTGCTATTTTTATCACTGTTAGCATGAACCTACTCAGCTAGACAGATACAACTAGCTAGTACGAACTTCCAGACTTGAGGCTGCCACTAACACACGTACAATTAATAATAGCAGCGCTTTGACATAGAAACTAAATAGATCAAGATTTTTTTCTTCTCTAACAGACTCTCGCTAAGCTTGATTACTTGAATCTCCACACTAGGTGCCGTTGGTGGCGCGACTTAGAGGACCACAACTCTTACTCTCCTTGCAACAATGATCCCAACTTGGTAGTCAATAGAGAAGAAATGATACGGTTTTCTTTGTACTTGCCTGATGGAGTTCAGGAGATAGGTGATGGAGCAAGGGCCTCTCCTCGTCTCCTGCCGCTTCCATGGCTGACTTCTGCTTTTAAGCATCTGCAACGGCAGTGGCAGGACAGGCAACCTCCTAGTCCTTCTCCTTCGAACTGCAATCACCAGATCAAGAATACTTTCATATTCGGTAGCAATCAATTGTTACAGAAATATTGGTTGGTGTTGGATGAGAGGCACCGAGAGAGAGAGAGAGAGAGAGAGAGAGAGAGAGAGAGAGCCTGGAGGATGAGAAGGAAGATGGAGGCAGTGAATGATGACGTATTGTAGTGGTTGGTGTTGGGTGGGAGGCACCAAGAAAGAAAGAGAAGCAGATGGGATGTCCCTCTCTCTCTCTCTCGGTTTGAAACTTTGAGTGGACATCGCTTTTGGTTGTTAAGAGGAACCTACAAATCTGTCTGCCAAACTCGCATCTGTTTTTTCTTTTGTTATTAGGAGTAACGCCACATGGGAATCGAGCCCAAATTTATACCTTTTTTTGTCGTTGCAGATGATTGTTGGTTGAACGTTGTTGATTTTCTATAGGAAAACGATTCCCGTCGGCGGGCCGATCGCTCGCTGAAATCGGTCATCTCGTGATGTCGCCACATGCCCCCTGGAACCTTACTCTCTCTCCATATATCCTTTATCTGAGCTCGTCGCGCCACAGCTCGTCGAATTTAGGTGATGCAGGGGGTGCCGAAGATGCAAGCTCTGCCGTGCGCACTGCCTGGGGTGACGAAGCTGTGATCATCATGTTGCGGTGATGCGGCCGGCACGGCACCAGAGATAGCTAAGAGGGATGTTGCAACTGATAGAGGTGGAAGCTGTGACTGGCACGACGCGGTGCTGCGATCGTCCTCGTTGGCGCGAGTGGCGAGATGGGGCGCTGCAACTCGCAACTCCGGCGTGTGGCGAGCGACCAGACCAAGGGCTCCTGAGCCACAAAGCCAAGTAATTCTATGAAGAGGGATGACTGCGTTTTTTTGGCAACAAGCA